GCTGTTCGTTTCTGTGCTGAAAATGAGCGCGGCTACTGTACAGTTTTTACAACTGGGGGGATTTTTTTGCTTGGCTGAGCAAGCACACACAAGCTGTAATGAAAACTCGGGAGCTGGTAATGCTTTAATCTGGGCCCTGTTTAGGTCCTGTGACCTGGTGGGGATGAACCGTCATGCTGAATATGGGTGACGATGTTGCAAAAGGCTTCACGTCTAGATAAGGTCATAGAGTATCTACTTAGCTTTCATAGCAGTAGAGACTAGATAATACTGAAGGTGAACTAAGCTGCACAATTGCTTTCTGTACGGTTCTGAGGGGGATGCTTTGCAGTTTTTAAACAACTTACTTAGATGAATCAAATTCTGACAACTTGATGGGCTCCCGGATTACATCAGTTTCATGCTTTTTTTTAAACTGAAGTATGGGAGGTCTCTTCCAACCTAAATGAGCCTGTGTTTCTCTGTCGTCAGTACTTCTAATTAAGGAACTGTTGTTTTGTGCTTTGCTTAGTTTTGGGCTATATGCAGGGAGGGAGCAACTCTGTTGAAGTCGTGTGAAAATGCTTCATGCTGTCTTCTCTTTTGGCTAGCCTTGTAGTTCCATGCTCCCCTAAGAACTTCCTTGTTTCTCATTGCTCCCTTCAGTTCTGACTGTTTATAAATGAGATCATTTTAGTAGACCTTAAGACACAGTGGTGCTGCTGAGGTGAGATTATCCTGCATCTCCAGTTCAGGTAACTCCACCAAAGGAAGCTGAAAACGTGTGTTACATTTTTTTCCTTCAATAAAAATTTTGAGGTACTACTGCTCAAAAGGGTTTTAAAATTAATGTATTCCACAAAATTAAAATTCCTACATGCTTCTAGGCAGATTACGGTGTATAATTAGAGACACTTGAAACTTGCTGCTGAGACCCTTCTGCTGAAAAAGCCTGTTCAGAAGAATTAGCATATACTTTCCATCAATGTAGCTGTGTTAACTGGGGGAGGGGGGGAAGCAAAAATGGATTTGGAAAGGGGGAACTTCATTTTCATGCTTGATTCTATGCTATTTCTAAGCAATAATTTGACCTTGAACTATTTTTTCATTTCCTTTGTTACTGAGAATTTGGCTATGTATGCCAGCCATGCTATGCAAAGAAGTTGAGCAATAGCAGTTGACTGATGCATTGAAGCTAATACTGGCTGCTGGCTATGTCTTTTACGGCTCTTTGCTTATTAGTGGATGTGGAGCGTCTATGTACTTTGCTTTTTATTGTTATGAAATGGGGTAATGAGTCTTTGCTAAGTTCTGTGAGACAAGCCAGTAGCTGTATAATACTGATGATGTTTTGAAGCAGTTACAATGCTTTGCGTTAATGAAAACACTTTTGTATGGTACTGTAAGTGTTCTAGTTGCGTTCGTAAACAACTAATGATAAGTGAATGTTAATTTTGGAATTTTTACCAGCTTTTTACTACATTTTGAGGTGATGCTTCCTTTGAAAGACAAGATATTTAGTAAGTATATGATTCCTCGATCTTCCAGATTATTGAAGTCTTTGTATTTCTTAAGCCTTTCAGAGTTAGAAAATGAAATTTAGAAAATTTCGAAGGGTTGCTTCTATCTGTATTTCCAATGATGGCACTTAGAACCTACATACTAGAAACCCATGTCTCTTAAGCACTCTATCTCCATTTCCCTTTATTAAATTATACTTCTGTTGAGAAAATTATCCCTGTGGGATTAATTCCTTCTCCTTAATCTCTTAATGGAGTGGGGTGAAGATGCAATCCCTTAACCCTGCTAACTGCAGTATTCTTTCAGATGCTTTGCTGGGTTGTTACAGCAGCGTATGCCAGGTTGTTCTGGTTTCTCACTTGCAAAAATTAGTCATTGCCTATTTTCGCAAATCTGCCTTCTAAGAAATTAATTATAGTAGATTGGTAAACAAATGTAGTAGAGAACATAAGAGGTGACAGAATATAGAGTTTTAAAACGCCTTTCCGTATTTCTTTTGGAGATTGGAGGAGGGTGTATCCCTTAACTAAACTTGATGATGTCTCTCATGGTTCTCAGGCCATAGTCTGATGATTACTGAAAACAACAGCAACAAGTTGAACATTCTGGTAGGTGTAATTACTGAGAAACAGCTTGTTCAAATGAGAACTCTGACAAGTGAGAAAACTTTTTATGTGTAGTATGGATTGTCACAGACTTAAATAATGGAGAATTCTGGGGGAAAAAAAACACAAACAAACCACATTTCTGGGCTTTTTCTTTTTTAATCAAATATTGTGTGTATGAAGGAATTTTACTTCTAACAAAACATACTCGGAGTATTTCTAAACTAGCTAGTTCAAGTGTTGTAAAAGCATAAATGTGTAAGTTTGGAACTGACCCAAATCCTCTGCATGAAGTAAGACACTTCAGTGCATGCTTGCATTGAGTTCTGTTCCGTTGTTGGGTTGTTTGGGGTTTTTTTCCCTTTTACAATTGACTTCAGCTTTGATCTACGGTGACCAGACCAAGGGATAAGGCAGTCCTGAAAGAAGTGGTTTACTGGTACAGGTAAGGAGACCTCTCACAGGGTCATAAACTAAAGAATTACATTTCGTACAAAGTTTCTTCTGCAACACTGAACACCTATGTAGGAAAAGTGATTACAGTCTTGAACTATCAGAGAGGGATAACCATTGTGATAGCTTTACATCTGCCTGCTGTGCTTTCTGCAAGTCATTGCTGCTGTGGGGAAATTTGCAATTGGTTTCTGATAATTTCATCACTTGTGGAGAGTTAGATCAACTGATTCAGATCCTAACTGTCAGTGGGTGCTGCTGTGCTGGCAAAGGGTGTCCAGAATCTGCAACATTATCGGTAGAAAACTCCCTTGAGTAACTACTGAGAGAGATTGCAACATGTGCTCTATAGCCAAACGACTGCTGATCTGTCACGAGCTTTCATATTAACTACATGTGCACCAAAGTAGTAATTACAAATTTCAGATCCTACCCAGGATGATCGAAGTGATGGCCAGCTTGGTCTTCCTAGTCAGCAAATATGTGCGTGATGCTTCATTCCAGACAAATGCAGAGGCATGGGTTGCTCCTGAGGAATTGGAGGGAGTAGGAAAAAGTATTTGTGGGAGGGGATGGGAGTGTTGAAGAGGAAGGGAAGCCTGTAGCCACTGTCACGTCTGTCTTCACTCAGTAGTGATAACACAGCTTTCCTCTTGGCTTCTGGGGGAAGAACAAGAGTGCATTTGCTCCCTAAGCCTGTATCTGGTCACCTGTGTACAAGCTTTTATATGGCAAGCTTCAAAAACCCCGAAATCTTTCGGGTTTTTGATTGACATTTAGTCATGCTGCTATTCTTAGCAAAAAAGTTTTTCTATATTAAGTACTTGAAGAAAAGCTGTGAAAATATTGTAGCTTCTATAAAGCACTTGTCTTACACGTTTTACTCTTGTGAATCTTATTTCATATGTATTTGATTTAAAGCTGGAAGTGGGTTGAAGCTGCTGAAAGGAAATTTAATAGTAAAACTTAAAAGGTAAGGAAGGAGTCTTTGCCCCAAGGTTTCGCTTGAGGTCTACCAGCAAATTTGATTCTGGGCCTGAGGACAGTGGAGCAGTGAAATGTCTTTCTAGAACTTCTTACTATGCGAAGTTTTAGCTTTTATTATGAGTTTGAGGGAAAATTTTCTAGAAAGTATAGAATTTCTATAGTCTGTTAGTAGAATAGATGCTGAAATTTGCTGTTGCTTTAAAATATTATCGCTTTAGAACACCTGGACATTTTTCTGCTTAATTTTTCATCTTTCCATGTTGTGCCGCCTTTACCTAGAACCAGTTAATCTAGAGGAAGAAAGTTGTTTAAGAGATTAACTGCAATGGAGGTCTGTCAAACTCCCCCCTTCCATCTTTTCCCAAAACTCTTCTAGGTTGAGGAAGGGGGAAAAGACAACTAAGAAACCTGATTTGAGCTGTGGGATGTTGTTGAAACATTTGAAAGACTAATTAGCAACTATTTTGATTTCTATTACAGCAGATTCTGATACATACAACTAGGGCTGCCTGCATTTCTGTCTTCTGTAGATGAACAGAAGTGCATTCTTACTGTCTCAAATCAAGTAAGCTTAGGTATGCTGATGTTCTCCTTTCAGGTTAAACAGAGTTGTTCTGACATCTCCTTATCAAATTACTGTCTTTATACAACGATTCAGTGCATATGTTTTCAGCCTTGCATGTTAAACTAGCTGCCTGAATCAGAGCAGCTGGGTGGGATTTTGACAAGCGCATTCTGGAAAAAGCATGCAGTGTGACCATCTCCTTGTGCTTATGTAAGAACAGTGTGATCACATGTCCACAGGAAAAATGCATGCAGCTCCTTATTTGGTAATGCATTAATAACCTCTGTCTTGTTTGAGTATAAAAGCAATTAATAACAGTACAATGTAGCCAAGTCACTTTTCTAAGTGAATTTATTTGTTTTGCAGTTCCTCTTCATCAAGACTCAGAAAATAGTTTATTTTCTACTGGAAACTATTAATTTCTATTGTTGTTAGGAAAAAAAAAAACCAAGTGGAGTGTGAATGGGGGTTGTGCAGGCATCTTCCACCTACCCTTCCCCCTCTTACATGTGACCCATAAAATGATCAGTGTCATGTTTGTTCAGGGTTGTTTTTTTTCTCTCAGCTGTTCTGTTTACTGATAGCTTTTTAACGACACCAGAAAATAATACTTGTGCAAGAAGGAAAAATGACTTGCAGACATGACTTCTGTCTGTTCCTTAGTTATGGAACATGACTGAAATAGTGGTACAACTCTAGATGAGCCTATCAGTCTTCAGTATAAAGCTGTAGTATATCTTCACTGTTAGGAAAATATTTCTATAATGTGTTATGTTCCAAAGTGGTGGTGTGTTGGGGCGATTTGTTTTTTTGTTTTTTTTTTGGAATAAATCCAAATACTTAAGTGATAGACTGAGAACCACTGGAACAAAAGACTTCAGGTTCAAATCAGGTTACATCTGAGTCATGCCAGTGCCAACTTACCAGAGGTTTTAGGAAGAGTTAACCTGTAGGCCTGTCTTTATTCTACAGGTGCCATCAATTCTCTCCTGCTGCCTCTTTGCTGAGACAACAGGTTGTTAATTACATTGTTTGGTGGAAGAAACCCCTTAGGATTCCTTTGCTGTGAATGAAGGAATTGCTACCATACTTAAGGTAAACACCAATAAATTGTTATAGGTGGTTGATACCCTCCCTTTTCTACAGGTGAAGGGCTAAAAGAGGAGCTGTTGTATGCTACTTCTGTTGAAACAGATATTAAGTGAAACAGTCTGTCCATCCTAATGTTTCCTGGGTGATTAAGGTAGTTGTGATAACTAACTTTAGGATGTTGAAAGAAATGTATTTAAAATGCCTTTAAATTTTTTTTTTTTTTTCCATTCCAGTTTCTTGCAGGAAAGTCAGCAAGGGTTATTGTGGAAACCAGCACTATTTTTCCATTGTCCTTTTCCTGTTAATCAGTACATAGCACTTCTATTAGGTCACAGGAGTTCTCCTACACGAGGATTCATTTGGTGGAAGAACTGGTAGGGAGCCAGTCACAGTTCCCGGGGTCTGAGCTGGCTGGCCTTCTGTCCAGTCTCAGCTAGCCCAGAGCAAATGTTACTCTGTTTTGTGCCAGCTGGCCCTGGTCCTCGGGGTGGAGAATGCTGGACTGCAGAAGGAGTAGCATATGAGGTGGCTGTTCTGTCTCTGTGCTTGTAGGGAGATTTCTGCCCCTTCTGTGCTGCAAGAGTGGGGCTGAATCCATTGAGCGTTAATGTCAAATTAAGCCTCGCTTTTATTGAAAACAGGAATATTAGAAACATCTTTGAATATTACTAAATACCTGTTCTATAAAAGTCTCTTTATTGTAAGCAACATCCCTATTTCTTTCACTTACATGGAAAACAACACAAATATGCTTAATATTCATTGCTTATTTTCCAAACTTTATTATTTGTATAAGAAACAGATTATTTGTAAAATAGACAGATCTGCAGGTAGGAAAATGTGGGTAGAGGTCTACACATCTTTTCAGTTGTTTTTGGTGCTTTTTTGTGTGTGTGGGGGGTTTTTTGTATGTGTGAATTGTCTGAGAGCCTATAGGGAACTGAGACTTTGTTTCATAGGAAAGATGGAGATGTAGCAGGAGAGACAAAGGAGGCAGCATGGTTGCAAGTGGTACCCTGAGTTGTAATTTCAAGTCAGTTTTAAGTTAACATGCTCTAGTGTATGTACATTTGGGTTTGGGAGGGGTGTTGGTGGGGTTTTTTTGGTGGGGTTTTTTTTTTTTGTTGTTGTTTGTTTGGGTTTTTTGTTTGTTTTAAAAACTACAACAGAACATCAACCCCCAAAAAACCCAAACCAAAAAAGTCCCCACCAACTCTCCTTGGCAGTAGTAATAAATGAGTTGAATGTTTTTTTGAAAACATATGCAAAAGAATACTCCAGTATTGTGTATACATACGCAGAAGCATGCTAGAATAAAGACTATCCAAACACTTTTCTTCTAATACTTTATAGCAGACCTGCAATACTTGCCTGAACCCATACATTTGGACAGAATTTGTCTGCCACTAAGGTTGATTACATAGTGCCAATGCTCACATTTTAAGCTTCTGTGTTAGTGTTCGTTCTTTAGAAGAACATGGAAGTGACTTGAGTTGCATTATATAGAGATTTTAATGAATCTAACGAGGGTGCTCAACTAGAGAATGCTGAACTGGTTGTCCATTAAGTGGCCTGTTTAGCCCAGTAATTTGCATTTGAAAGTGGCCATAAGTAGATGCTTCAGGGGAAGTTGGAATAAAGCAAATGCTTAGTCCTCTTTTCCATCTTCCTAGATTCCAAATGTCTGCAGCTCAGGGAATTCCTGCTCTGGCTTCTCTGTCGAGAAACTTGCAGTGAATCTCTTTTGTGGTATTTTTTCAGTGTCAGTTGCGAAGGAGTGGTTAGGTCGCTTAAATGATCACTCAGAGGTTTTGCAAGAAAAGATTTTACTGAAAATTTAGAAAATGTGGTCTTGCAGAGTTTGTTGGCAAGGTTCACTCTATTACTTCTTAAATAAATGGAATACAAAATCAAAGGGGGTTTTGGGTAGAAAATGATTTATACGGAGTGGAATAAAAGTGTAAGGTTATAGGTGTCACCGAAAATCCGGGAATAAAACCTCGTAACACCAATGTAGTGTTAAAAGGCAGGCATTCTTTATTGCGACGTCGGATGCACGGGGGATAATTCCGCCGAATGTGCATGCCCCATACCCTTTCCGTGCAGTTTATATAGATCAAAATATACATATTCATCTGATTACATAAGCCCTTTCTTTCATAGTCAAATCAGTCCATTTTCATACACTCCTCCCACCCGCACTTGCGCAGTGCCTCCTAGTGGTGGTCGTCGGGGGTCCTAAGATGAAGGCTTATCCTCTTCATCACAGTTTCTGCGCAAACTCAGTCCTCTTCTGGCTCTTGTCCCTGCGGCACGGGTCATCTTGACCAGTTCTAGGCACCTGCTGGTTTTAATTAAAACTAACTTCTTTGGGGAGAGATGTATGACTTTTTGCTTCAATTAATTCACACAATAGATAGGTACCACAAATACACCTGCAATCATTTGGTAACGCTATTTCTATTAAAAATCCCCCTTCACCATTATTGTTTAACATTAATGATTACCTAGGGACTAAACCCTCTGTTCCCAGACCTAATGTTCAGATGGGTAGGGCTGTACAAGGGACATAGCAGCATTGTTTGTGCTTTATGATTAACTAATTCCATCACTGTGGTTACATTTCCCCCCTTTGGAAGTTTTGAAATAATTATCTTTTCAATACTTCCATAATTAAATTTTTTTTTGATCATATAATGATTAAATACTATTAAAATATACTTTTCAAAATTACAACACTACACTTATAGTCCACTTGTTTCGCTATAGGGTGGTGGAAGTGTTTTAAAAGTATTTAAAGTATTTTAAAGTTAGTTTTGCAGTCTTTGGATCTTTATTGATGACTCTCCACGAAGGGGCCTTCTTCACTCGAGTGTAGTGTATGCACGGTTCCACCCCTTCTACTTTGATTGCAGTGTAAGTTGTTAACAGTACCTGAAAAGGTCCTTTCCACTTTTTCTGCAGTGGTTCAGAGTTCCAAGTCCTTATGTACATGAAATCACCTGGTTGATACTGATGCACAGGTGTATCCAAAGCAAGCGATCTGGTCAGCACAATGTATTTTCGGAGTGCTTCA